AAGGCTCCAGCAGTGGGGAAAGGCTCTGGTAGCTCTTTGGAGTGGGAAAAGGCTCCAGCAGTGGGGAAAGGCTCCGACAGCAGGGAAAAGGCAATGGGGAAAGAAGCTCCCTGCTGCTGGAACCTTTCCCCACTGCCTCCCCTGGCCAGAGCCTTTCCCGGCCACATGCGGCCGTGCAGTGCAGTGTGGACTCAGCCTGCCCTTCACTGCAGTGTGTAGCTACACATACACTACACGCCACTGCCAGTGACATGCAGTGTAGACATAGCCTCAGAGTAAGACCCAAAGGAGCATGTCAGAAGAACAGGGGTCCAATCCAGAGAGCAGAGTAAGAGCGTGTCCAAGTGCCTCCAGCCTCTGGCCCTCGCTGGAGCGGTGTTTCCTCAGCTCTCTAGTAATGGGCCTGTTTGCTGGTAACTAAGGGGGCAAAGTGGGTCACGGGGCTCAGGAACGAAGCCAACGAGGAGCAGAACATGCAGCATCACATGGGAATGAGGGTTCCCCCCTAACTCTGCGGGTCAGCTGTGTTAATATGCAGTCACTGGGAGTTGTGTTTTGTAGCATTAACACCCTGCTGCAAGTTGGGCTCTCTCGGGAGGCCATTAGCCCAAGCCATGTTGGGAACCAAGCACAAAAGGGTGGGTCCCAAATACACAGCTCACCATGGGCCACGCTCCCAACCTCCCATCGGTGCCGATACAGGCTGCCCCACGCCAGTCGCCCCGGCATTACCTCTCCAACCCGGCCTGCTCTTCGATCGTGTCCGAGGCGCACTCCAGCGAGGCCTGCAGGGTCTGCAGCTGGGTCCTGGTCTCCCGTAGCAGGAAGCGGGTCACAAACTGCTCCATCTTGGAGGAACTCTCATACTCCTGTGGGGAAGGAGAGAGAGGGAATGTCGCACCTGCCGCCGGATCGTGGGTGCTCCAGGAGAGCTCTTGCCTGGGCTGCAGCCTCCTCTCCTGCAATGTCCCAGGCCCGACTCCCTCCCACCCAGTGCCTCACTGGGACTTGGCAAAAGCAGCTGCTGACGAGGCCATCCCAGATTTTATACGCAGCCCAGAGCAACGTGGGGAGATCGGTTAGTTCTGCACAATAATGGCGCTGCCGTCCAAATTGCTCCAGGCACTGGACAACCATTCAGAGCCCCTCCCAAGCCCCCAGGCAGAGAGGTTAATGCATTCCCACTGATCAAGTGGGGAAACTGAGGCATGAGCAGAGCGCGTTCATGCTTGGGGCAGGTGAATAAACATATAGAAATGTTGCAGACTTTAATACTGGGTTGGCTTTGCTTTTCTGTAAAGACCTTAGAGCCTTGAGATAAGTGCTGGGAACATCAAAATCTATAAATGTCTCGTCCAAGGTCACTGAGAAAGTCAGTGGCAGAGCCTGGGACAAGAACCTAGGAATCTCAGCTCTCAATCCTCTGCTCTAACTACTCGCTTGTGCAGCTTCTTGTGCCCAGCAGAGCTGGCTATAGGCAAGGCAGTTGGTAGCTCTTCACCTTCCCATTGAGCTGTGGTGTATTAAACGCTAGAGATGATCGCGGGATGTGGAGTGGAAGTGGGCAGTTCAAAACAGAAATCAGATTAAAGGGAAACCACAGCTGGCCTCCTCTCGTCAGGCACAGTCAGCTCCAAATTGCAAGGAAGCTAATGGCATTTTCACAGGTCAAACGCTTCAGGAGTTCTCATTTCCAGGCTCTCAGAAGCGCTGGCTATTGAACGCACTGCTTTGGAAAAGGGAACCATTTGGCAACAATCAGCGGCTCTCTAGTGCAGTGCAAAACTCAGTTACTAGCTGCAGAAGGGATCCCTGGGACAAAAAGCACAGCACAGCAAGCATCGATGGGCCTCCCCACTGGCAGCTTCACGGAGGCCAGGGAGTCGGACTGAATGGGCCAGAGAGCCCAAACACCTTCCTCCAGCCCAGAGGCAGGTGGGGCAGCACGGCAGAGCGTGCCCCGTTGCTATCCCAGTGTGCTTGTTGTGGGACCAACAAAAGGACAGTTCTCAACCGGGGGTACTAAGAGCTCTTCTCGGGGTACATCAACTCATCTCGATATTTGCCTAGTTTTATAACAGGCTACATAAAAAGCTCTAGCAAAGTCAGTGCCAACTAAAATTCCTAGACAATGGTTTGTTTATACTGCTCGCTATACCACACATTGAAATGGAAGTACAATATTTATATTCCAATTGATTTATTTTATAATTATATGGTAAAAATGAGAAAGTCAGCCATTTTTCAGTACTAGTGTGCTGGGACACTTTTGTACTTTTATGTCTGATTTTGTAAGTTTTTAAGTGAGGTGAAACTTGTGGGCACCCAAGACAATTGAGACTCTTGAAAGGGGTACAGAAGTCTGGAAAGGTTGAGAACCACTGGACCAGAGTCCCCATGGCAGCCCATCCGGCACCTCTCCCCACTGCCGAATCCACACCCACCTCCCACAAAGAGAATCATTTGAAATTGTCATTGCATTGGCAGGAACTGGACCCGCAGCTTCTTTCCTCTCAGGTTAAACTCAATACACAAATGCAACTAACGAGTAGGTCAAATTTATCCTTGGTTTAACTCCACGGACTTCCAAGGAATGGCAGCAGGAAGAATATGGCCCTCTGTGTGCTGGACCACGCACAAGATGAGAACCATTGAGCTCAGCCAGCAGCCGGGAGACCGGACGTCTCTCTGCCTTCAAAGATACACAGCACTTCTGGCTTGAACTAACCCAGCCTGGACTCTGTGAACCAAATTCAGACATTCATCAGCCCCGTTGGTGACTTGTGAGAGATCTCTGACCCAGGACAAGGCTTTGCCTCATAAGAGCTAAAGTTTCCAGTTGCAGTTCAAAGTGACACAAGCAAAAGTTTGAAAATAGGCTTTTTCTATAAAATCCATATAAAATACCCCACTGTTACCATGTTATCTGGTTATCTGTCTGTAGAAGGAGGTGAGAGATGTCCTATATCCATAAGCCATTTCTTATGTTCTGGGCATCCTGATGGCCAATGTAGGAGAGAATTCAAGGGATATTTTTTAAACAGAGATAAAATCATTTTTACTCCTAAAACTGGAAACAAAATGTGCCCAACATTTACCGTGAAAATCAGAAACTGATAAATATCCGATAACTATAACACAACAGAAATTCTCCTGATCAGTGCCCTGATTCAGTGATCCAGCCCTATTCAGCAAAACATCCCGGCACACGCTTATCTTTAGGTATTTGCTTAAATCACGTCAAGTCCAACGGAAGTTGCACATATTCTTAAGTGCTTTGCTGAACTGAGGCCAAAGACCAAGCATTCTAGAGCAGGAGGGATCATGTTCCTTTGATTGTAAGCAGAAGTGAGCCACAAAATATATGAGGCATGCAGCTAACACTCCTTGTTGTGGAGAATAAAGCTGACTAGAAAGGCATGGGCACTTTAATAATATTATATGCTTCTCTAGCACTTTTCCCAGGAATCTCAAAGTATTACGCCTCGCAACAGCCCATCTCCTGGGCAAAGATTTACTATGCCCACTTAACAGTGTCATAGTATCACAGTCCATCTTAAACAGGAGATGATTATTAACCAAAACTTCTACAACTACAGTCACAGACCAACAGGCTTTCACCCAGCTTGAGTTCCAGCTTTCTTTCTCTTGTTTACCACAGACCACATCCTGTCTGGAACACTATACAGCACACAGAGACATCCAGCAGCTGAACGATATGCTGCAAATAAACATACCCTTATAAGCAGATGGAGGATCTCAGACCTTGCTAAAGGTCACACAGCAAATCAGTGGCAAGGCTGGGAAGAAATCCCAGGGATCCTGATGCCCAGTCACCCGCTCTAGCTGCTAGACACCACTTCTTCTACAGACACTGAGCTAAGGCCATCACCTCCTGCAGGACACTGATATGACAAAAGAGCTTACTTCACCACAGAAAGGTGAAATAAACATAAAACTTTCCCATGAAAGAACCCAGAGAATTGGATGCAGACAGTGAAGGGATATATGACTGGAGCACTGAGAAGAATGGAGATAACCAGTGGAATTTAGAAAATGCTCCCTCAGGAAAATCACGTGGCAGTACAAAGGAGAAGAACTGGTACTGGGATTTAGCTTCCATTCAGGTGACATTCCCGTGACGCTTCCCCATGTTGTGAGTCACCTTGCTACCACCTGCCCTTAGTGTAAGGAAGCTTTGTTTCTGCCTAACATGGGTCAGCTCCCTACTCCACCGGCTATGGGCAACACAAACCAACCCCTTGAGGCCCTGCAGGCCCTGCTGTCAGTCTGCAGGTCAGTGACTGGCAGACTCCAGCCCTGGAGCCCTCCGAGCTTCTCCCTGCAGTGCCCAGCCCTATGGCCACCGGACACTCGCAGCATTCACAGATTAGCTGCTTCCAAAGAAACAGCCCAGCCCAGCCCACCAGCTCCACCTCAGATCAACACACCCGCTCTAGTCTATGCCTCAACCATGTTTGACACTGGTGCAGGGGCACAAGAAGGGGAAGGGATGGGAGGAAGGGCCATTCATCTGCACACAGCAACATGGTGCAGCATACACAGAGTGTAGAGTGTGAGCACATAGCAGAGGAAGGGGCCACGCCAGCTCCGGACTCTCTAGGAGGCACTGATTTGCATGCACCCCCATGTACTGTAGGGTGTGGCTGGGACACATAACAGTCCTCACCCAGAGTTGCTTGTGAGGGAAATGGATCCAGTGCCATCACAAGAATGGTGGGTTTTACTGGCCTGGGGAGCAGCTGTGGGCCTGGCGCTGCTCCTGTTCATCCCATTCATTCATCACTTTATCAGTCCTGTTGGCATCTTCTTCCCTGCTGCCCCTGCGCCAGGCGGGCGCGATGGCAGAGTGCTGATGGCTGCCATGGGAGCGGGTTAGGGCACCCTTCCTGAACTAAAGGGATGCATTGGGATGAATTTCACAGCATACGAAGAGGAGATGACTCAGCTCTTTGGAGACTACGAGCATGAATTCGTCTTCCACATTTGTTTAGTGGGCAGCATGCAGAATGCCAGCCTGTTAAGGGTTCGTGGGGTAGGGCTAACGTAAAGGTCAGAGTTCAGCATTGAGGGAATCAGGGCACGGAGGGAGGGGACTCTGAAGAGTGGGATAGATAGCCACACAGCCATTTTCCATGCCATCCCACCACTTCTGTGGCGGTCAGGTTCCTTGGTGCTATTACACTGGGAGTAAATTGGTGCAACCGAGGGCAGAATCCAGCCCCTGAAACTCAGGTGATGCTTAGCTGAGAGATCAAGCTGGAGATTTCACAAGAGGAAGATTTTTGAGGCTTCTGGTGCAGGGAAGCAATTCCACTGGCTACCTGCAGCCCTTGCTAACGACCTGGGAGCACTAAAGGGAAGCTCTCCACACATTCTCCTTCCCATATCTCATGGGTTTCAAGACCTCTTTTACATCCATGCCCGGCACTCTCCTTTTACTGTTCTTTCCTGGCTGACAGCCATCCGTTCCACAGGCCAGAGAAGGAAAGCTGTGGGGTATCTCAGCCTTGTAGCTCAAGTTTTCACTAGAAGGGCAAATTGAGAGTTGGGATGAGGAAAATATTCTCTTCACAGCACAGAATTGGACTAGTAAATGCCCTCAGGCATTTTACCCCTTCGTCTCTAGCATCAGGCACTAGCCATTGTTAGAGACAGGACATCAGTCTACATGGGACCATGGGTCTGGTCTGGTCTTGACAATTCCTATGGTCCTAGACAGGTGGCACATACGCCTCCAGATTGTCAGCCAGGAAGAGGTCACTCTCATTCTGCAGGCAATGGGAAGAACTCAGAGTCCACGTCAGAATTACAAATAAATTAATGGAGATATCCTATCTCCTAGAAC